AAAAAAGATAACTTATAGCATAGGAGAAAATACTTGCAAATTGTATATCTGAGAAGGTCTCGTATCCAGAATTCCTACAACTCAACAACAAAAGGACAAATAACCCAACTAAAAGTAGTCTTAGGACTTAAATATTTATTTCTCTAAAAAGATATACAAATGACCAGGAAGCACTCTCATTTTAGAGAGTGCCTGGGTCAAGATGCTCAACATCATTCGCCCTCAAATGCAAATCAAAGCCAGAGTGATATATCACTTCATACTCACTAAGAGGGTAATAACAACAATAATAACAAAAAATAACAAATGTTGGTGAGTGTATGAAGAAGTTGGAACCTTGTGTGTTACTGGTGAGAATGCAAAATGGTGCAGCTGCTGTAGAAAATTTCTGGCAGCTCCTTAATAAGTTCAACATAGAATTACCATATGAAAAAAAAAAAGAATTACCATATGACTCAGCAAATCTACTCCTAAGTATAAACACCAAAGGAATGATAACAGGTACTCAAAAGAAAACCTTGCACATGAATGTTCATAGTAGCACTATGACCAAAAGTTGGAAATAACTGAAATGTCTTTCAACTGATGAATGGATTAACAAAAGGTGGTATATCCATATAATGGAATATTATTCAGCCATAAACAGGAATGATCCATGGTATAATATGGATGAATCTTGAAAACATTATGCTAAGTGAAAGAAACTGGAGTCAAAAGACCACACATTTTATGATTCTATTGCAGAATATGCACATCTCTAGAGTCAGAAAGTAGAACATGTGACTCCTGATCCTGGGGCTATGAGTTCAAGTCCCATGTGTGGTGTAAAGTTTACTTAAACTAAAACATTAGGGCACCTGGGTGGCTTAGTTAGTCAAACATCTGCTTAAATCTTGGGTCGTGATCCCAGGGTCCTGGGATCGAGTCCTGCATTGGGGTCCATGTTCTGTGGGGAGCCTGCTTCTCCCTCTCTCTCTGCCTGCTATTCCTTCTGTTTGTGCTCTCTTATTTTGTGTCTGTCAAAAAAATAAATAAAATCTTAAAAAAAAAAAAGTACGTCAAGTGGTAGCCAAGGGCTGTGGAAGGGGACAAATGGGATAAGGCTTCTTTTTTGAGGGTGATAAAATATTTTAAAATTAGATAGCAATGATGGCTGTACAACTTTGAGAATATACTAAAAGTGAGTGAAATGTACACTTTTTTTTAAAAAAAAGATTTTATTTATTTATTCATGAGAGACACAGAGACAGAGGCAGAGACACAGGCAGAGAGAGAAGCAGGCTCCATGCAGAGAGGCCAATGTGGGACTCCATCCTAGGACTCGATCTCGGGACTTCAGGATCATGCACTGGGCCGAAGGCAGGAGCTTAACTGCTAAGCTACCCAGGCGTCCCTGAAGTGTAAACTTTAAAATGGTGAATTTTATGGCATAGGAATTATATATTAATAAAGCTGTTAGTAAAACAAGATAGTAAGAGAATATTATAAACAACATTTTGCCAATATACCTGACAACTTAGATTAAATGGGAAAATTCTTTGAATCACCAAACTAACAGAGTACTCTCAAGAAGATAGATAACATGACTTATAGAGAGTGTTTATAGAGTGAGGGCTATTAAAAATTGAATTTGTAGTTAAGAACCTTCCCCCAATGGGACGCCTGGGTGTCTCAGTGGTTAAGCATCTGCCTGCCTTTGGCTCAGGGCATGATCTTCGAGTCTCCAGATTGTGTCCCACGTCGGGCTCCCTGCATGGAGCCTGCTTCTCCCTCTGCCTGTGTCTCTGCCTCTCTCTCTGTGTCTCTCGTGAATAAATAAATAAATAAAATCTTAAAAAAAAAAAAAGAACTTTCCCACAATGAAAACTTCAGGCCTAAATATCATTCATTCACTGATGAATTCTAACATTAAGAAATAAATGCCAGGACACCTGCAGGGCTCAGCGGTTGAGTGTCTGCCTTTGGCTCAGGGCATGATCCCAGGGGCCAGGATGGAGTTCCACATCAGGCTGCTTGAGGGGAGCCTACCTGTCCCTCTGCCTGTGTCTCTGCCTCTGTGTGTGTGTCTTTCACGAACAAATAAATAAAATCTTTCAAGAAAGAAAGAAAGCCAATTCTGTAGAAACTCTTCCAGAAATTAAAGACAAGAGAATACATCCCAAATCCTTTTACAATGTCTACAATACTCTGAAACTAAAGCCAGACACAGATATTACAAGAAAGAAACTCTCAGGCCATTATCCTTCATATACATAAATATAAAAATTCTTAACATCATTTTAACAAATCAATATATAAAATGATAATAATACATCATTACTAAGTGAGGTTTATCAGAGGATGCAATGTTGGTTAAAATTCAAAAATCAATCATGATATAAACATACTAAAAAAGGAAAAGAAATTTTCATGATTTGGGGGGCAGTGTTGTTTCCCCACAGATCCATAGAATAATCCTCAAACCGAATTTGGAAGCACAAATGTGCTTTGGTTTCTGTATCTCTAGGTTTCTTTTCTAAGTAAGAAAAAAAAAATCTTCAAAATGTTTTAGATGAAGTTTGCTATTTGAAATGTTTATTCTTCTGATTATTTTTATCATATCATCAAGACACACATATAGGACTCAATAACTGGGATCCCTGGGTGGCGCAGCGGTTTGGCGCCTGCCTTTGGCCCAGGGCGCGATCCTGGAGACCCGGGATCGAATCCCACGTCGGGCTCTCGGTGCATGGAGCCTGCTTCTCCCTCTGCCTATGTCTCTGCCTCTCTCTCTCTCTCTCTCTGTGTGTGTGTGTGTGTGTGTGTGTGTGACTATTGTAAATAAATAAAAAAAAAAGGACTCAATAACTAACTTCCAAAATTTTGTGTAAAATCTAAATTCGGTAAAATGAACAATGTATTAAATATCACTTGGAAGGATTTATTTATTTTTTATTTTTTAAAAGATTTTATTTATTTATTCATGAGACACACACACACACACACACACACAGAGAAAGAGAGGCAGAGACACAGGCAGAGGGAGAAGCAGGCTCCATGCAGGGAGCCCGATGTGGGACTGGATTCCTGGAGACCCGGGAATACCCTGGGCTGAAGGTGGCACTAAACCGCTGAGCCACCCAGGCGCCCTGGAAGAATTTTAAAAAAATAAATGTTGTGATGTGTTTATTTTTGATCCCTTATCTAATTAAATGTTACTAGTTTATGCATTTTCAATTTTATTTTCTTTAGAATAGGAACTATCCCTTTTAGCACCACAAAGTACTATCTCCTCCTGTCTTCCTATTTCTCATCATTATTATGCAGAAATCTAAATTCCTATTTTTGAATATCTTTTCTTTCACCATCTAACTATGTCTGTTTTAGTTTTCTATTTATAGTATACTTAAACTTACAAGCAATCTTTGTGTTTTCCAGGTAGTGAGCTGCATAGAAATATAGCTGAATACTTAAAGGCAGATACTAAGCCTTTTGTTAAATCTCCCTTTTATGTACTTTCAAGAAGTTAGAGAAGAATGTGGCTATCCCAAAGAGGTTACAATCAATGGAATTTACTGCCCAAATCTACATCAGTAAACCTTAAGTATTTAATATGGTAACATAAACCACTGTTTTTCCTTTCTGCTGTTCTTTAACATTTAATTCTTTGTTAGCAGTTTTGGTTACAAGGAGACATGGATACAGAAAGAACTAACTTAAATTGTTCTATTTTTCTAATCTTTAGCAACCTTGAATAAACACATAACAAAACAGGTAGTTCAAACCAATATCTAAAATTAGATTTTTGAAATGTTTACCTATCTAAACCCTGAATCTTATGATAAAACATAAGCAAAAGTTGACTGTATGGTTTTTCATTCATCAATAACAGAATCATATTGAGTAAATATAATATAGTGATTATAATTATAGATTTTGGAATTAAATAGAAATAGGTTCAAAAGGAGCTCTGCCCCTAACCAACTGTGTGATCATGGGCAAGTAATTTAAATTTGGTAAACCTCAGTTTCTTCAGCCTTGAGAAGGAGTGAGGTGCAAATGAAATAAAATAATTATCACCGATCTCATTGTTGTTATTTTTTCCTGAGAGCAAAGAGTCAGTCTTATTTAACACTGCATTCCCTGGTCCCTAGGTGGTCTGCTTACATGTTTTTTTAATTGAACAGAATTTTAAACGATTTAGTCATCATTAGATTTCATGGAAAACTTGTAGGACATGAGACTAATCTGATCTGCTGTCATCAAAGTAGCCTATGTTGTATTATCTGGGAGGTGGCCAGTATCACTGACTCTGCAGTATGAACAGCATAAGGAAATGAATGATGCTCTTCAAAAGCCTGCCTGTGAGTCAAGAAACTGCAATATATTGCCTTTCTTATCTAAAGTGATTCATCTGATCAAGGTTATAGGAACTCAAATTTCCTAACAGAAGCAAGAGTGACCCAAAGTCACTGGTTAGGAATTATAATGTAAATTATAAATTAATTGATAGAACTTAAGAGCTCCACATGCCAGACTGTTTGAAGATAGCTTTCTACTCAGAGTGATGAAATAATGTTTCTTGAGGACACTGATTCAGTCTAACTGGGTGAAGACAGAGGAACACTCATCTCCTGAGCACTGAGCTCCAGGAGAGAGGCCAGGAAAACAGAGGCATCTCTTGTTCCACCCTTGGGAGTTAGTCAGATAGGTATGGAGGTTGAGAAGACCCATGATGTACCATGAAAAAACTGTGTGAATCTCTCTGGTACCCAGTTTATTTGTGTGAGAGGACTGACTCAACTATGGGAAGAGATTAAGAGGCTGACCAATGAAGAAGCAAAGGGTTGTCCTAGCCTCTCTTCTTCTGGGAACCTCTATGTTCTAAAATGAATTTAAGCCCACTTCCCAAATTTGTCTGTGGCCAGACTGCTGGTACAGAATAGCAGTCAGGCTATGTGGTCAGAGGCTAAGCGAGGGTAACAGAATGGGAAGAGTAATCCTGAAAAGTGGTTACTGACCTATAAGGAATCATATCAATGAGCATCTTGCTGGTTTCTGTTGCCATGGTTATCTTGTTTGCAAAAGCAGCGAAGCCAAGAATCTGTAGGGGTTAAAAAAAAAAGGCATATGATCATCTAAAAATTATAGATTGCTTCCAGGAGCAGAGGCGCTTTATAGCCTTAGCAAGACAGGAATAAAATATGTGGCAGTCCCTATGCATGAAAGTTGGAGAGAGAGGCAGGGCCTATTCAGTGGAGCAAGAAAGCAGAAATCCCCTCTGACTCTTGATTCCCTAAGCTCTTTTTATTTGTTTAATTTTTTTTAAGATTTAGTTTGAGAGAGAGAGGGAACATGATGGGGGAGGGACAGAGGGAGAGGGAGAGAGAACATCTCAAGCAGACTCTCCCACCCCCACCCCCTGCCCCAAGTGCAGAGCCCAGCTGAGGACTCAATCTCAGGGAGACTTTTACCTGAGCAAAACCAAAAGTTGGAAGCTTGATGGACTGAGCCACCCAGGTGCCCCCACTGAGCTCTTTTTAGCATTGTAGCCAGAATGAAAAGCAACTTCATTTTCAGCCTCTGACATAACAATGGGAACAAATGGATATCCTCCCCAACTTGAAACATCTGGACCAAATATAAAGATGTTTTCAGGTTATGGCTACATAAAAGCCTCAGTTGTAAAAGTTTTTAGATCTAGGTATACTGTACTAATATAAATAAGCCTTTGGGGGATTGTTGAGATATACTGAGAATCCTATTACTGACTAACCCTCAATAGTAAATACGGAGCAGCATTTGATAGCACAAAGAAAAAGTCCTCAGCAAAGCAATGACTTGCTTTTTTATCTACCTTTTATTTACTCCTAAAATAACAAGTCTCCTTTCCATTTCAACTAGTGGGAAAATAGACAACCTAGCCAATTGTTACACCTTATAGAGACCTGACACCAAGCAAATTAAGCTAGCGACAAAAGAACTGGATGCCCAGGTATTAAAATAATTATTATGTAGCTGCTTTACCCCATTCTCCCTACTAACATATAACTCTTTTCCCAGTCTCCGCTGAGAGTTCAGATACTGAGCAGGATAGCAATTGGTTTACCTGGGATGCTGTGATCTGATGAAGACAGCTGGGAACCTTACAGGTCAGAAGGGAAAGAAAAATCTGGATCATAGCTTGAGTCAGAGAAAAGTTTGGTTGTTTATATAGTTAAAGGACAAGAAGTATGGAAACTAGCCAAGGAACCCTTTTTATTGTTTTTTATTTCCAATATGAAGGTAATGCTTGCTCACAAAGGAACATAGTGAAAATATGAAAAATTAAAAAGCAGAAGGAAATCACCAAAGACAATTATTTTGATGCTTGTTTGGTGTTTGATATACAACTTAAATAAACACATACACAAATACACACTCATATACATATATATATAAATTATGAACATATAATATGTATAATTTCTTAGAGCTATAGGATTTCTTTTTTAAAAATATTTAGGGGATCCCTGGGTGGCTCAGGGATCGAGCCCCTGCATCAGGCTTAGCCCCTGCCTTCGGCCTGGGGTGTGATCCTGGGGTCCCGGGATCGAATCCTGCGTCAGGCTCCCTGCATGGAGCCTGCTTCTCCTTCTGCCTCTCTCTTTCTCTCTCTGTCTCTCATGAATAAATAAATAAGTAAATCTTAAAAAAATAAAAATAAAAATATTTAATTTATTTATTCATGAGAGACACAGAGAGAAAGGCAGCATAGGCAGAGGGAGAAGCAGGTTCCCCATGGGGAGTCCAATGTAGGACTCGATCCCAGGACCCTGGGATCAGGACCTGTGCCAACAGCAGACGCTCAACCACTGAGCCACCCAGGTGCCCCAGAACTATAGGATTCTTGAATTATTTGCCTGTATATTCTATCTGGACCCCAGATATTGCCTTGAAACTTCCCCTTACTATTTGACACTAGAGTGTTAAGGACAGATTGGTGGGTGTGTGTAGTTTCCTGCAGCATGTGTACACGGTACTGTCTTGGTGAGTGCTGTGAGAAGCTTTTTTTTTTTTTTTTTTTAAATTTTTTTTATTTATTTACGATAGTCACAGAGAGAGAGAGGCAGAGACACAGGCAGAGGGAGAAGCAGGCTCCAAGCACCGGGAGCCCGAGTGGGATTCGATCCCGGGTCTCCAGGATCGCGCCCTGGGCCAAAGGCAGGCGCCAAACCGCTGCGCCACCCAGGGATCCCTGTGAGAAGCTTTTTACACTCTAGGGCATAGCAGCTCTCATCCTCCCTCTCCCATTTCCCTCACTGCCAGGGGAAACATGCAAGTCTTTTCCCAGTTCTAAACATCTCTAATCCTTGTTACTTGGCGGACAGTGATCCCAATCACTTGACTTGACATGTATTTAAGTAATGTATTGCAGGCTTTGATAACCTTTGAGTATAAATTAGGGCACAAAAAAGTTTAATTCCTAAACTGCAATAATTCAAAGTCTCCACTGACTTTTGTTGCTGGATCTGGGTTTCCTCCATGGTACACCCTATTTATAGCACTCCCCAATGGAATGTCTTTTTTTTTTTTTAAGATTTTATTTATTTATTCATGAGAGCCAGAGAGAGAGACAGAGAGATACAGGCAGAGGGAGAAGCAGGCTCCATGCAGGGATCCTGACATGGGACTTGATCCTGGGTCTTCAGAATCAGGCCCTGAGCTGAAGGGGGTGCTTAACCGCTGAGCCACCAGGGCTGCCCCCCAAAGGAATGTCTTAACTGTAGCTCACAAACCAATCTGTCAACCATAGTCAACCACAGCATCCTCTATACTTTTACTTCTCACCTTTCCTAATAACCCTGGTTAATGTTCATTGCCTTTGAGGTTGCTTAAAGGAATATCCCTATGATTCCTGCCGCTGTCTCTTAAGAGAGGGCTGATTTGCCACAACGTGGCTGGATTTTGAGGGCAATATGCTAAGTGAAAAAAGCCAGAGAAAGACAAATACTGTATGGTATTACTGGCACGTGGAATCTAAAAGCAAAAACAAATACAAAACAGTCAAACTTATGGCAACAGAGAGTAGAAAAGTGGTTGCCAGGAGCTGGAAGTTGGAGGAAACAGGGAAAGGTTGATCAAAACGTACAAACATTCACATTTAAGATGAATAAGTTCTGAGGATCTAATGCTACTCATGGTGACTATAGCTGATGCCATTGCATTGTATAATTGAAATTTGCTAAGGGTAAAACTTAAATGTTCTCTCATACTCATATATACACAAAAGATAAATATGTGAGGTGATGGAAGTGTTAATTACCTCGATGGGTGAATTCTTTTTCGATGTATTTGCATATGAAATCATCATGATGTATACCTTTTATGTCAATTACACCTCAATAAAGCTGAAATTAGAGAGAGAGAGAGAGAGAGAGAGAGAATATCTGTGTCACCGATGCCATCTGCTGGTGACTCCAAAGCTTCAGCTTCCCAAGATGTCAGAGCTGAGCTGGGTTCCATGAAAAGGAGAGGTTAGCCCTGACTCCACTCCCCAAACTCCATCTGTACCTGGTCCCCTGGGTTCTAGGGCACCATTACTTATGTACAGTGATTTGGGAAGTCTTTGATAAAATTAGTCTTTCAGTTTCTGCCCTTTATGAATTAATAGCTTTTCAACTACTCCAAGGAAAAAGAATATCCATCTCCATAAGAAGTAGACAACAGTTATAAGACAGAGCTTGGTCTCAACTTCCAAAGCAATTCGTATACTCTTTTAATTGTGCAAAGTATAGACCTATATTATTTAGTATAGAATAGGTTATACTGTGGCAACATACAAATAATGAGACCTTAGTGTTATTTTTTTTGCCCACACAGAGTCTATTGTGGGTCAGTATCATTTTGAGGCAACTTCTTTGCAAATAGTGCCTCAGGGATCCAGGCTAATTCCACGTGGGGACCCAGTTATTTCATCATACAGCCCTATGATTACCACAGCAGGGAGAGAAAGAACGTGGAGACTCACATTCTTTCTCCTATGCTTTGGCCCCAAAGTCACATGGTTCTGCCTAACTACAGGGAAGCTGGGAAATACAGGGCAACACATGGACATTTGGTGAAGTTGAAGCATCTCTGCAACAACAGAACACTTTTTTTTTTTTTTTTTTTTTTGCCTCCAATCCTAACAGAACACTTCTTAAGGGGAAATTAATTCTCATGGACATCCAAGCATTCAGTGATCCTATATAAAAAATGCTGACTTTAGGACAACCTGGGTGGCTCAGCGGTTTCGCACCGCTTTTGGCCCAGGGCCTGATCCTGGAGACCTGGGATCAGTCCCATATCAGGCTCCCTGCATGGAGCCTGCTTCTCCCTCTGCCTGTGTCTCTGCCTCTCTCGCTCTCTTTCTGTGTCTCTCATGAATAAGTAAATAAAATCTTTTTTAAAAAGTAAAAATAAAAACCTGACTTTATTTATGAGAATGTCTTTGTCACATGTAAAAATGTTAATTTTAACTCCAAAAGATAAGTTTTATCGGTAGATTTTTTTTTAAAGAAAGAAGAAATGTATTGTTAGATAGTGGTGAGCCCCAGCTCTGCCACTTGCAAATGACATAGATTAGGCAATCCATTTAACATCTCATCTCCTTCAATTTCTCTACTGCAACATAGTGAGAATGAAAGGAGGCTGAATAACAGTATGATTACAACACTATTAAAATAGAAACAGGGACACCAGACTGGCTTGGTTGGTAGAGCATGCGACTCGATCTTGTGAGTTCAAGCTCCACATTAGGGGTAGAGATTACTTAAAAATAAAATCTTAAAAAAAAAAAAAAGGTAGGATCAACGTTCTATACAGAAGAAGATGGAAATTCACCAACACTGAGCATAGGCCTGTCAAATATATTTGAAGGAAGAAAACAGTAATAGCTGAAAATCCAAAATTATCAATTGTAATTGATATTACAGGTGCAGAAATTTCTTTTCTTCCATTTTTTTCCTTATGTTTTTCAAAGTTGTTAGAATGAGGGGCACCTGGGTGGCTCAGCTGTTTAAGCATATGCCTTTAGCTCAGGTCATGATCCCAGAGTCCTGGGATCAATCCCCACAGCAGGCTCCCTGCTCACTGGGGAGTTTGCTTCTCCCTCTCCCTCTGCGCCTGCCCATTCTCTCTTTCTCTCTCTCTCAAAAAAAAAAAAAAAATTGCTAGAATGAGCCTGGATTACTTTCATAAGGGGGAGCAGGACTTATTTCTGAAATAGTATGAAAGAGGAAATAGAGAAAATACTTTAAAAATAAGCATGTTTTACAAACACAAGCTATTATTTAAAAATTAAATGTATTCCACTTTGTCACAATTTAACATACGTTTAAAAATTATTATTTTTATAGTCTCCTCTAATCCTTTTCCTTCCTAGGTTGCTTGCTTTCTTGTTTTTATTTTTATTTTTAAAAAGTAGGCATTTTAAATGATCTAAAGCATGAATTTGGGGCATTAAAACACCTACCAGTAAAACTTCCATGGGAAACTCAATTGGGTACCGATTGAAAGAAATTCTGATACATTTGTTGATTCTCAGTGCAACAACAGCAGTTAGAAATAGCAGGATGCTGGTAGAATTAGCTTTTGGGAGAGTTGCACAGTAGTTAACTATGTTCTGAAAGAAAACAAAATTACAGAGGCTTAGAAAGGGGTTTGGGATAATAGGGATAATCGCCTATGGCTAGAAAATGACACTCTCTCTACATTAGTTCAAAAAGAAATCCCTAAGCAGTGTCTCTGGGCACAAATGTCTTTATGAGCATTACTAGCACAGTGAAGGCAAAGGGGAGGATATATATCCATATATATCTAAGTTGATAAAGAGATATCAAAAGATAATAATGCCCAATAGGAGAGAATACACGTTTCAGTTGCAATGGAAAGAACCTAGGAGTTCTGGGCGGCCCCGGTGGCGCAGCGGCTTAGCGCCGCCTGCAGCCTGAGGTGTGATCCTGGAGACCTGGGATCGAGTCCCATATTGGGCTCCCTGCATAGAGCCTGCTTCTCCCTCTGCCTGTGTCTCTGCCTCTCCCTCTCTCTGTATCTCTCATGAATAAATAAGTAAAATATTTAAAAAAAGAACCCAGGAGTTCTGTTTACCAGCCTGCTCCTTTACTAATTTTTTTAAACGATTGATGTTCTTTAGCATGGCTTCTATGCCATTCTTGCATTAAGGGACTATGTGGCATTTTATATTCTTTAATGTTTTAGGATACAAGTCTGCTATAAGGCATGTAATGGGAAGAATTATGATAGATTCCTGTATTTTAAAAGCCTAAATTTAATGTTTGTTTAAAAAGCCTGGGCCAAATAGTTAATGCAACTGAGGACATGATCCTACTGGCATCTGCAATTAGGATCGTAAATCTAGAACAGATGCAATTATTTCTAAGACTCTGTTGACCCAGCCGCCTAGGCAGCAGTCTCTCCAGGAGGGTCCACTTCCTTTTGGAGGTGAGGGGAGGGGCACTTGTCTCTCTGGGTGAGGGTAGAAATTACTTACATAGAAGAAGGAGATGGGACCAGAGTGGAAACCGATCATAATGCCAAAGATGCAAGTCAGCTGGGACAGAATAACGTGTAGCGCCACGGCAGCCAGGTAAGCGCTGATTGCAGCCTCCGGAAGGTACGTAGCAAGGAAGCCAAAACCCAACAAGCCCATCGATAGCTGCAGGCATCAGGCATAAAGAAAATCAGAGTGAAACAGAACGTCGTCAAACCCGGGACGCCTGGGTGGCGCAGCGGTTTAGCGCCGCCTGCAGCCCAGGGCGTGACCCCGGAGTCCTGGGACCGAGTCCCACGTCGGGCTCCCTGCACGGAGCCTGCTTCTCCCTCTGCCTGTGTCTGCCTCTTTCTGTCTCTCATGAATAAATAAAATCTTAAAAAAAAAAAAAAGGAATGTCATCAAATCCACAGAGGCGTCGATTAGGCGCTATCCAGCAAAAAGTTGTTAGGCCCCTTTGATAACTCTTCTTTCTCAGCAACTGAAATTGACGATCTGAATCCTTGGTGTTGATTCGGAAGCTCCCGCTAGGCACTGGACCACGCTTCTCGCTTCAGGAGCACTTAAGCGTAAGTTCTTGCTCTAGGATCTATTGATGGTATTATTCCTTTTTAAAGATCTTATTTATTTATGAGAGACACAGAAACATAGGCAGAGGGAAAAAACAGGCTCCGCACGGGGAGCCCCATGTGGGACTGGATCCCAGCCTGGAATTTCCATCTGAGCCGAAGGCAGACGCTCAACCACTGAGCCACCCAGGCGTCCCTCTCTACCGACCTTATTAATGTGAGGTTAACAGTGACCCAGTGTAATCAGGACAAACTTTTGCCTTTCTGATGGCCCTTTTGTTAGAAGCTTTGACAACCCTTTTCAGATGTTAATATCCCTGTGAGGAACGAGAAGTTCACAAAGGAAAAGATAAATTAAAAAAAAAAAAAAACCCTGAGGAGGGATCCCTGGGTGGCTCAGCGGCTTGGCACCTGCCTTTGGTTCAGGGCGCGATCCTGCAGTCCCGGGATCGAGTCCGTGCCTGCTTCTCCCTCTGCCCCTCTCTCTGCCTCTCTATGTCTCTCATGAATAAATAAAATCTTAAAAAAAAAAGAAAGTTAAAAACCCGGATTCCAGCTCAAACTTCTCAGCCTTTGACTTATATCTTTACTAAGAATGATTAACCTAAATTTATGTCTTCAGGGTTATATATAATAATATGTATATATTATATAACATATAAGACATAAATTCTGTTTCCATATATTCAGTATATATAATAAATATAATTTGTATATTATATATACATATGTGCATGTAAAATACTATAAATGTAAACATAATTACACATAAAATACTATATTACATTAAATATATAATTTATATATTTATATAAATATATAGTTATGTTTACATATATTTATATGTTACATAAATTAACGTATTTATATATTTATGTATAAACGTATAAATTCATGAATATATAAAATTAGTTATTTGTGTACTTAATATAATTTTTCCAATTATATATTTATATATAATTACATAGAACAATTCTATATTTATATATAATTACATATATTATAAATTATACATTAAATATAATGGTACAAAATAGCATTTTGTATGTACACATGCATATATAATATAAAAATTATAGACATATATATTTTTTTATTTTTGAAAATATTTATTTATTCATGAGAGACACACAGAGAGAGAGGCAGAGACACAGGCAGAGGGAGAAACAGGCTCCATGCAGGGGGCCCTATGTGGGACTCAAACCCAGGTCTCCAGGATTACAGCCTGGGCTGAAGGTGCCACTAAACGGCGAGCCACCCGGGTTGCCCTATATATATATATCTATTTTTAAATATACAAAGGATCTAAAAGTGTAGACCCCAAACTATTAACAGAAGTTACTTTTGAGGAATGGGATTAAAGGTTGGGGCAATACTTTAAAATTTATTTATTTAATTTTGTTATTTGAGACTCTTGCAATATATATACATGCCCATCTTTCTTTTTTCAAGTAGGCTCCATGCCCACCATGGGGATTGAACTCGTAACACTGATGTCAAGAGTTGCCTGCTCTACTGACTGAGCCAGCCATCTTTTATAATTAAAAAACAATAAGAAAATTGATGGATAGCGGGTGAGTCCTATTCCCCTTAAGAAAGTAGGTTAATAATACTTGCACAGCCTAATAAAGAAGATGGGGGAAAAATAGACAAGTCTTGAAGCCTACTATTATTGGTAGCCCTTCATATTCCACTGCACTAGAAGCCTGCAGAAAATAAACTTGGGAGAGTAAATCTTTGGGGTTTAAAAGCTTTTTTGTTTCCAAGCTTTCAGTCAGTTGGGCACTGGGTCCCTATAATCTCTAGTCATTACTCTCCAATATACTCTACGACTCTAATTGGGCCAGTCAGCTTCCTGTCTTTTGAGGGATTGGTTGATTTCTATTTCTGTATTTATGCAGAAATATATATATATATATTTTGCCATTTCTGCCAATCCATGTCCATAATTTCTTTCAAGAACTCAATAAAATTCTTCAGCAGATGTGGTGAAAAGAGCATGATTCCTAGGGATGAAGAACTTCTCTTCAATCCTGGCTCTGCCACTCACTGGCTGTGTGAACTTGGACCAGTTAACTAAACTCGATGAACGTGTTTCCTCATCTATAAAAAGTGGATAATACTCAACACAGTGTTTTGTATGGATTACATTGTATAATACATGTAAAATACTAAGCTCAAATCTGAGAATAGTGACAGATGCAAACACATTATCACTCATTCTTCATCTTTTCCTTCCACCTTGTAAATGGCGAATATCTATAGCCATAAAACTCTTTCTTCCTCAGCTGTGATGTGGCATCAGTATCTGCGTTAACCTAATTTTCTAGGCAGCCAATGTCAATCAGTCAGACTTGGCCTATGTCATGAAACCTACCTGCCATTCTTAGAGAAAGCAAGTACGCAATATTCAGTGAATGAAGAAAAGTCTCAATACATGGTTGTTTCCTTTACAGACAACTCCAACCAACTAAAGATCATTCCTATGCTTTACATTCTTCTGACACTGAACATTTCATGTTTATTAATATTAGTTTGCACTTTAAAATTATCTAAAGTGCAGATTCTAGAGGTAGACAACTCTGAGCCTAATTCCCAGTTTGAGATCTTACTGCCTGTGTGACCTTGGGCAATTCATTTAACTTCTCTATAACATTTTTTTCCTTAAAATAAGGCTCATAGTAACACCTATCCTCATAGGTTGTAAGGATCAAATGAGATGGATACAGGTAAAGTGTTTTTTAACAGTGACTAAAATATAGCAATAAATGTTAGACATTATTATCTAGTACAGACTTCTTTTTAACTTTAACCTTTTTATTTTCGATAACTGTAAATTGATATGCTGTTGTAAGAAACAATACAGAGAGATCTAGTATCCTCCTTACTGTTTCCCCCAATGGTAACATCTTGCAAAACTATAGTTGACCCTTGAATACCATAGGGGTTAGGGGCACCCCCCAACAGTTGAAAATCCATGTATAACTTTTTTAAAAGGTATTATTTATTTATTTGAAAGAGGGAAAGTATGAGCAGGGGGAGGGGCAAAGGGAGAGGGAGAAGCAGGCTCCCTCCTGAGCAGGAAGTCCAATGCTGGGCTTGATCCCAGGACTGTGAGATTATGACCCTGAGCTGAAGGCAGATGCTTAACTTACTTGAGCCACCCAGGCACCCCCCATATATAACTTCTGATTCCTCAAAAACTTAATTCCTATTAGCCTAATGTTGACTGGAAGCCTTACCAATACAAACCAGATGATTGAAATATATTTGGTATATGTATTACATACTATGTTATTATAATGAAGTAGGATAGAGAAAGGAAAATGTTATCAAGACAATCGTAAGAAAGAGAAAATACATTTACAATACTGAATTGTATTTTTAAAAATCTGCATATAAATGTTCAGATTTTTAAGGGGGTTGTTCAGGGGCCCATAATAATTGTTTTAAATATTTCTTCTACATACATTTTGAACCACATCATAATGTTATCATCTCATTTCAACCATCAAACATAATTTAGAAGGCACAAGAAGACAAGGAAAATCTATCATATTTATCCATATTTTTACTCTTTCCATTGTTCTTTCTTCTTGATGTTCCAAGATTCTTTCTTTTATTACTTCCTTTCTGTTTAGAGAACTTCCATTCACCATTCTATTAGGGTAAGGTCTGCTGGTAGCAAATTCTTTTAGTTTTCCCTCATCTCAGAAGGTCTTGATTTTCCTTTTATTCTTTTTTTTTCCTTTTATTCTTGAAGGATATTTTCACTGGGTATATGATTTTGGATTGACAGTTCTTTGCTGTTAGCAAACAAAATATTGTGCAACTTATGTTGGACTCTATTATTTCTGATAAGAAATCTGCTGTCATTTGAGTTGCTCACCCCTCTCACACCATAGAAAAAGTGTTTCTCTCACTGTTTTCAAGATCTTTTTGTCTTTAGTTTTCAGATGATTGGCTATAATTTGTCTTAGGGTGGATTTCTATGGATTTATCTTGTTTGAAATTTTCTCAGCTTCTTGAATCCATAGGATTATATCTTTTGCCAAATTTGGGGAGTTTTCACCTATTACTTCTTCAAGTAATTCAGCCCCATCTTTTTTCTCCTCTCTTTCTGGGACTCTTATGATACAAATATTAGATATTTTGTTATCACCCTACTTGTCCCTGGGGCTTTATTTTTTTCTAGTCTGTTTCCTCTCTGTTGTTCAGATTAAGCAATTTCTATTGTTCTTTGAGTTCATTCTATCTTCCCTGTCTTCTCTATTCTGCTATTGAGCTCATCCTTTGAATTTTTAATTTAATTTTAATTTTATTGTACTTTTTGGTTCTAAAATTTCCATTTGCTTCTTCATATTTTCTGTTTACTTGCTGAGACTTTCTGTTTTCTCACTTGTTTCAAACATGTTCATTATTGCTTGCTGAAGTATGTTTAGGATGGCTGCTTTAAAATCTTTGCCAGATAATCCTAACATTTCTGTCATCTCAATGTTGTCATCTTTTTATTGTCTTTTCTCATTCAAGTTGAGATTTTTCTGGCTCTTACTATGACAAGTAATTTTCAGTTCAATTACAAACATTTTGGGCACTATCCTATGAGACATTGGATCTTATTTAACCCTTCTGTTTTAGCTAGCTTATTTTGACAAAGTGATGGCAGGAGAGGGGCCAGGTGCCATCTCATTGCTACCTATAGTTGTAGAAGCCAGTTCTTCCCTAAGCTTCCACCAACAGCTGAGGCAGTAAGGAATCTTCATTATTGCTGAGCAGGGGTGGGAGGTGGGAGTTCTGGCTCCCCAGTAGTCCTCTGCTGCTATTAACTTACTTCTTCCCTTTTGGCCTCCATTGACCCAACAGAGGGGGCTGTCCTCTTCACTAGACCATGTCTGACATCACCCAATTGAGGAGTAGGAAGGGGGATCTCATTACTGCACAGTAGAAATGAAAGTCTTGACTCCCTGTTTGGCCTTCTCTGACAACATTCCAGTTTTGGGGTGGGTGGGCATCTCATTACAGGTGGGTAAGGGTGAAAGTCTGGCTCCTTGATTGGCCTTGGTTGGCATGAGGGGGTTTGATACCACAGTTTTGTTTTGTTTTCCCTTGATGTTTGTCTGGAGCAGAGTAGTTATTATGTAAAAGTTTTCAGCCTCACTAGCCTTTTTTGGTGCTACAGAACAGACTTCTGTTAGGGTTGTACATGTGTGTGTACATGTGCACAGGCATTAGAGTTGTGGGTTTCTGGCTTCTTCAGCATCAAGTTTGAAATAGAAGAGGCAAAAAGAAAACCCTGGAAACTCACCACTGTGTTGTTCCTTGGGGCCTGAGATTCTGAGCTAGTTTGCTTTCTTCTCTCCACTTTTCAGCATTTTCTTATGTTTGTTTTATAAATAACATTCTAAGGTTTTTAATTGTATTTAGCAGGAGGAACAGGGAAAAGCATCTATTTTATCTTCCTGGAAATGGAATGTCTCCTCCTTTATTAGACAAACAAACAAACAAAACCCCGAGGCTCAAAGGAGGCAAGAGAACATGCCCAGGACCTTGTAGATAATTCATAGGTTGCTAACTTACTTACATTGCCTGTTATTTTGTCTTTTTCTAAAAGACTGGATTTTTTAACCACAGGAATTACATCTTCTTTTTTTAATTTTTGGTCTCTATCAAAGTACCAAATTCATATTTTCTGTACCATAATTATAACATATTGATGCTTACTATGTGACAGACTCTGGGTTGAGTGCTTTACATGTATTTTCTCACTTAATCATGAGAACCCTACAAAACAAACATTATTATTCCCATTTTACACACAAGGAAACTGAGGCCCATAAAGGTAAAGTGATTTAAGTAGGTCATATAGCTGGTATCAGGGCTGGAGCCTGCTCACTAGGAAAACCTGACTTTGCAGGCTTCCAATAAATCTATACCTAATAAAAGATGGTCCGAGGAGAGATCAGCAAAAATTAGCTAAAGAGTAGATTAATTGTGGAAAAAGACAAAGCTAGCATATGTGACTTTAGTTCAACGATGAAGCTTCAGATGGTAGACTCTCAGAGAAAATCAAAGACACACCAAAAATAAGTTTTGATATTTTAACAAGTCATTGATATTATTGTCCTTTAGCTATGCTCCTGAAATTCTAGACAAAGGGTTCCAGGTCTGACTCTAATGCTTACTTAACTCAAAATATAGTATGTGAACCTATGAGTGCTATTCTTGTTGAAAGAATATAAAGAATTTTAAAAAAACAACACGTGAAATCATGAATAGAACTCTAGATCAGGGATCCCTGGGTGGCGCAGCAGTTTAGCGCCTGCCTTTGGCGCAGGGCGCGATCCTGGAGACCCGGAATCGAATCCCACATCGGGCTCCTGGTGCATGGAGCCTGCTTCTTCCTCTGCCTATGCTCTGCCTCTCTCTCTCTCTCTCTCTCTGTGTGTGACTATCATAAATAAATAAAATAATAATAATAATAAATTTTTAAAAAAAGAACTCTAGACCATAGTCCCTAGGGCCCTTCTTTAGTTTTAGAGAAGAGACTGATGAGAATGTTCCATATCTCATCCTAAATCAATGGTGAATGATTTCTGAGGAGGAAAAAGTTTTATCACTGAGGAGAGCCTATCCACACATCCTGTAAGTTTTCCAAAAATAAATCATTGAAGTTTCAGATATATTACCATGGGTAACAGGAGTAACAAAAGGAAAGGGTCCCTTTGTAGCTCCTTTATTTATTTATTTCTTCTTCAGGGGTTCAGAGACTCAGATCCTACCTGAATAATCCCAGTCAGAAAAGTTGTGGATGCCACCACACTCAAGGATCTGTTATAATCCACAAGGAAGGAGGGTGCAGAAAAGTCTTCCTTGATGAAAGTTCCCAGAACCAGGTGGCCACTGTTGAATGGGTACAATCTCAGGACATTGATCATCAGAGCACTCACAAGGAAGAAGGAACCTATGACAGATGTTGAGGCGGAAAGTGAGGTTTTAAAACCAGGGAACCCGACATATTTGACAAAAGCAAGGCATGGTCTGATGTTGTTTTGTCTTTGATCTGAATAACTTTTCTTTTTTGAAAGTGGCCCTTGGAGAAGTTAAGAATGAGTGAAGAAAAGAACTCTGGTTCCACATGCCATGACCAATTCCCAGAATTTAGATCTTTGTGGTCCAGGTATGGGTGTATGGAGTGGGACTCAAAGAGAAATTGGCTAGAAGTGCATATCAGGCTCAGCCACTTACCTGCTCTTAGAGATGGTAAATGAGATGATGGGGGAGGGGATAAGAAAACAAAACTAATCAATAATAATAAGACAATACTTATCATTTATGAAGGATTAACTAGGTGCAAAATGACACTGAGCTAAACCTGTTTCAAACATGATTTCATTCAGTCCTCCTATCCACATTGTCACATATGGGAGCAAAGGCAAACCCTACTTTTAAATTACCTAACAGAAACAAAACTCTAGTAACCTTATTATCAATATTTGGAAATGATTATGATGTGCCCCAGGAACTTGGAAATATGCGAATATAATTGTTCTCTCAGTGTCTGAATGTAATATCAACATATAATGGGTTTTAGTAGAGACATGTGATATTGTCCTTAAAAAAGGCAGGATATCACTCTGCCTCTAGAATAATGAGAGGGTAACCAGATTGAATGCACAAACATATCTAGAGAAAGCATGTGTCAGTCAAAATGATCAGTGTTGTTTGGATGGTCAGTTGTTCAGTAGGGAAGCCCAGAAAAAGGTACTTTAATAAATAGATGTTGGCAATGCCAAGATTACTGAGTATTTTTGTGGTTTGATTTCTATGCCAGTTTACCTATGTGAAGAAAATGTGCTGCTTATATGACCTTCAACTAGTTTGATCCCTGTAACAGTTATTTCTGATTATAAATTAGTAGGTGGACTTTTGACTCAGGTAAGGAAAGTGCTTATCCTATGGATTTGAGTGCTTTGTTACCATGACAGCATTTTCTCATTGTAGATTAATAAGCTGGCATGATGATTATAAAGTAGGCCCATGGTCTTGGGTTACTGCAGGTCCAGCTGAAAGATGGATCCACTCTAGGAATATTGGCAAAATTGCCTCTGGATCTTCTGGATTGAGGGCAGATTTCAACCAGTGGTAATTTCACCAAGAAAAGTACCAATGCTGTTTAATTCTTTTGAAAACCAGGTGGCTGGCCGAGTTGTCTGGCAGTGACCTTAATAATGGCACAGTCTCTCAAATCTGAACCCTCACCCTATGGATGGAATATCCATTTTCTGCCTCCTTTTTTTCTACCTTAAGTATAGCTTCAGTTTGGGTTCTTAGCAATAAGGAAATGATTGAGGCAGAGACTCCATCCACCTCCTGGGGTTCCAGTGCTGAACTCACCAATGGACATTTGATGACATGATCCAAAAATGACATAAATTAATGAAGAACAGAAAGCTGCATAACAGACATTGAGAGGAGGAATCAGTTGCCTGGTCAGCAAACTAAATGTCAGGACTGAAAAACAAGATAATTTAAGTAAGAAGAGGTAGGCTGGCTTTTTAAAAAATTTAAATTCAATTAATTAATATATTATTAGTTTCAGAGGTAGAGCTCAGTGATTCATCAGTCTTTTTTTTTTTTTTTTAAGATTTTTATTTATTTATTCATGAGGGATCCCTGGGTGGCGCAGCGGTTTGGCGCCTGCCTTTGGCCCAGGGCGTGATCCTGGAGACCCGGGATCAAATCCCACGTCAGGCTCCCGGTACATGGAGCCTGCTTCTCCCTCTGCCTGTGTCTCTGCCTCTCTCTCTCTCTCTCTCTCTCTCTCTCTCTCTGTGTGTGACTATCATAAATAAATAAAAATTTTAAAAAAATTAAAAAAATTTATTTATTCATGAGAGATGCAGAGAGAGAGAGAGAGGCAGAGACACAGGCAGAGGGAGAAGCAGGCTCCATGCAGGGAGCCTGACATGGGACTCAATCCCGGGTCTCCAGGATCACACACTAGGCTGAAGGCAGCACTAAACCACTGAGCCACCGGAGCTGCCCTCATCAGTCTTATAACACCCAGCGCTCATTACATCACATGCCCTCCTTAGTGCCCATTACCCAGTTACCCCATCCCCCACCCCCCAGTAGGCTAACTTTTAAAAGTCACTTTCAAAAATACTGTAAAGAATATTTAAAATAATGATCCCTGTGTGTAACTGACTGAGCATGGTAATAGCAGCTCTTGACACATAGCCCTCCATTAGTCCCTTTTATTACCTCCTTTAGTATGTAGCTTCTCCTACTTTACCACATGCTTTTATACCTCAGTTATAAATCACAGGCTTAAGCACCTTTCACTTCAAGGTCTTCCTGCTAATCATGGAAAACAGACGTCACAATAAAACTTCTGATTCCAACAGCCCAGACGTAGTCCCATTTCACCCCTAGTCTAGTAGCAGAAGGCCCTGGGAATCCTCCAGTACTGGAAATAAAGCTGGAGAACTAGGCAAGAACCATACTTAGCTGGCTTGATTTCCACATCGGTATATGTTGTCTCTCTTCCATATGCCAATCATTTCAGTCTCTTTCTTCAACAACTCCTTCAATACTTACTTTCTTTTCCAAGAATACCATGAGAATTTGTAAATTTTGAAGCAAATAGATTAACATGCATGGTGTCATCCTTTGATGTCTCAAGCCTGCAGCTCCTGCCCTGACAGCCTATCCTTTTTTTTTTTTTTTTTTGAGAGAAAGAAAGAGTGCATGCGTGCACATGCACAGGGGGGATGGGGGGATGGGGAGAAGGAGAGGAGAGAATCTTGAGCAGGCTCTACATCCAGCATGGAGCCCTATAAATGGCTCAATCTCATGATCCTGAGGTCATGACCTGAGCCAAAATCAAAAGCCCAATGATCTACTCACTGAGCCACCCAGGCACTCCTGAGGACCTATCTTCAACTTACATCATAATGTGTGCTCATCTGAATTCAGTTATAAGTTCAGTGAGCCAAGTTAGTGTCTTAGATAAGCAAGGCTTTGTGTGTGTGTGTGTGTGTGTGTGTGTGTGTGTGTGTTTGAGGTTCAAACACATACAAAACTAGAGTATAATGACCTCCCATGTATTTATTTTTTTTATTTATTTATGATAGTCACACACAGAGAGAGAGAGAGGCAGAGACATAGGCAGAGGGAGAAGCAGGCTCCATGCACCGGGAGCCCGATGTGGGATTCGATCCCGGATCTCCAGGATAGCGCCCTGAGCCAAAGGTAGGCGCCAAACCGCTGCGCCACCCAGGGATCCCATCCTCCCATGTATTTATAACCTGCTTTAACAGTAGTCAACTCATGGCCAATCTTATCTCATCTATTCAATGCTCACTCCTCTCCCAATTCATATTATTTTTAAGCACATTCAAAAAATGAAATTATTTCATCTGTAGATATTTAAAAGAAGACCCTCTTTTTTTTTTTTAAGTAATCTGTGTGCCCAATGTGGGGCTCAAACTCATAACCCTGAGATCAAAGTCTCATACTCTATTGACTAAGTCAACCAGGTGCCCCAGAAGGAGACCCTCTTTTTAATTTAACTACAATACCATCAGTATATTTAAGAAATTAATAATGGTTCTTTATCAAATATTCAATCAATGCTCAAATTTCCCTGCTTATCTCATAGATGGTTGTTGTGGCCTTAGAGGACCTCTAAGATGATCTGCAACGGCTAATTGGTATTTATGCCTCTGTGTGATCCCTACCCCTTTAGTGTGGGATGGACCTAGTAACTTGTATCTAATAAGTGAGAATACAACAAAAATGATAGGATGTCACTTTTGAGAGTAGGTTGTACGATGCTTCTGTCCTGGTTGCTCTCTGACTCTCTATCTCTCACCAGCTGCAAGACTTGGCTTCAAGAGTGTGTGACCTATGCAATTAAACAGGGCTTAGAAGGTTCCACACTTGCCTTAATGCTCTACTCTGACCATCTTGAAATTCTGAATAGTTTTTAAAGTAGGAATTCTGCATGTAGCTGGTCCCAGCTACCATATTAGGAGGACACTCAAGCACTGTTGGAGAGGCCCACAAGGTGAGAAACCCAGGCCTGGCAGCAAATGCATGAGTAACCCTAAAGGCTGATCTCCAGCCTCAGTAGAGCCTTGAGATGACTGACAGCTTGACTACAATCACATGAGAAACCTTCAGCCAAAGATATGGTGGGTTTTGGAGTGATCTTTAAAAAATATTATTTACTATTATATGTTGTACAATTTTTTACAATCTTTGTGTTCATATTAGGACCTAAATGAAGCTTTCATATCAGTTGATGGGTCTCTTAAATCTTTATGATTTATAGTTTCTCCTTCTGCATTTTTTTCAAAGCAAAGCTCTAATGATTGCAAAAGCAAAAAACCAAGAAAACACACACACAGAGAAATTGCTTAAATTAGCTTAAGCAAAACAGGAAATTTACTAAAAGAGGATAAAAGGCAGTTAGGCCTCATCAGAGACTGGAACCGTAACTAAAAAACCATCAGGATCCAAGGCAGCAATCTCCCTATTTTCTTGGTCTCTAGGCTTGCACAGGCTCCTGTTTTTGTTTCCAGTTCGGGGCTACTGGGAAAAATATTGCCAGGAATATTTTTGTACATGCCTCTTGGTGCATCATTGTACAAGTTCCATTTTAGTGTGTGTGAGTTAGCATGTAACTCAAATTTCACTTTTCACTTCAATAATCTTGATCAGTCTCATTGAGTTGTTTCCTTATGGATTTGTAGGAGAATATATATTGCAGATTTAAGTCCTTTGCTGAGTGTGTGTATTACAAGTATCTCTCCCTTTCTGTGGTTTGCTTTTCAATCTTTGTGTGTCTTTGAATGAACAAGACTTTTACTTTATTAATTTATTAGTCTTTTCCTCTTAGGCAGGCTAGTACTTCTTATGTCTTGTTTGAGAAATCATTTTTTTACCTCAAGATCATGAAAATATTGTCCTACATAATTCTTAAAAAATTTTATGGTTTTACCATTCACATTTAGGTCTTTAATCTACCAGGAATAGATTTTTGTGTATGGCATTAGGTAGAGGTCTAAAAATTGTTTTTCTTGTTGTTACTGTTTTTAATAAGTTCTACACCCAGCATGGAGCCCTGAGATCAAGATCTGAGCTGAGATCAAGAATTGGACACTTAACTTACTGAGCCACCCAGGTGCCCCTAAATTTTTTTTTAAGTAAGTATCCAGTTGTTTCATATCATTCATTAAAAAGTTTGTTTCTATAGTGACACATCTGATATAAACTGTGCAACATATATCTGTGTATCTCTTTTCTGTTTCATTGGTCTAATCGTATATCTCTGTAATACTATACTGTCTTGCTATTTTGTAGTAATTAGTTTAGTAACAGTTTTGATAAGTTAGTCAAAAAATGCCCGTTTTTATTGTGAAATATAACATACATATAGAAAGTGCATTAAAATAGATCTTGATGGGGTGCCTAGCTGGCTCAATTGGTTGACTGACTGACTCTTGGTTTTGGCTCGGGTCATGATTTCAGGATATGGGATTAAGCCCTGGATTGGGCTTTGTGCTCAATAAGAAGTCTGCTTGGGATTCTCCCCCTCTGCCCCTCCCTCAACTTATGCCCTCTCTCATGCACACACTCTCTCTCTCAAATAAATAAATAGATAAATCTTAAAAAACTAGATGTTGGGGGTCTGGGTGGCTCAGTTGGTTAAGCGTCTGCCTTCAGCTCAGGTCATGATTCTTGGGGTCTTGGGACTGAGCCCACGTTGAGCTCTCTGCACAGCAGGAAGTCTGCTTCTCCCTCTCTCTCTGCTTCTCCCCATGCTTGTGTGCTCTCTCTCTCTGTCAAATAAACAAATAAAATCTTAAAAAAAATAGATGCTGAGCTGAATAAATACTTATAAAACAAACATCTTTGTTACCACCACCCAGGTCTTTGATTATAATTCCACCTATTTCCACAAAGGTATTCATTATTTTGACTTTTTATGATAATAATTTCTTTGCTTTGCTTTATAGTTTTACCAGTAATGTACATATTTCTAAACAATACAGTTTAGTTCAGTTTGAGTTTTCAGTTTGAATTTTATATTGATGGAGTTACGCTGTATGAAAATTTTATTTCTGCTTCTTTTGCTCAATATCATGTATATAACAGTCCTCCATGTGGTGGTAAGTTGCTTGAGATTGCTCATTTTCCTTCCATGTATTCCAATATATGCATATATGAATGTTTACTTATTCTGTCTACTTTTTTTGGCCATTATCTTAAATATTACAACTTTATATTAAATTTTGATAATTGGAGAAGTAAGCCTTCTTGTGCTGTGCTTCAAAAGAATATGGCATTCTTGGCTTTTTGCATTTATACATACATTTTAGAATCTGTTTATAATGTTCCATTAAAAAAATCCTGTTGAAAAAAAAATCCTGTTGAGATTTACATTAAAATTATAATGAATGTATAAAGTTTGTTTTGAGAGACTGAGATCTTTAAATATTGAG